GATACTCATATATGTTAGTTGCTAAATCTACAATAGCATCAATAATCAAATACATTTTGCTAATGAGAAAACGTCACGTTGTACAGGCTGTTCTATTAGAAGATGGCAATCCTAACGGAGTTCCTTAACGACGGCTAATATTCCTAAGTATGATTCTCTTTATAATCGCCTTTTTTACACCCTAGATAGATAAATTACTATATTATGTCGCTAGATGGTACTTATACGAAGATTTTATTTAACTCATTCTACTAGTTTAACCGCTGACCTCTGCATATATTACGTGCTTCATAAAATAGGTAACGGTTACTAGCTGAAATTTTGCATACACCTCTTTAATAAAAATCAATTACCGTTAAAATAAATATTTGCTCGTGAAATGTGTCAGTAGACACGTATTTAAAACATTTTCCGTCTTACAGAATCGAGAAATGGCTGCTGGAGCATAATTGACAGTTCATTAGATACCTGTTGGAAATTATCAGCGTGAAGCCATCAAAATATATTTTAGGCAATCACTACTTTCATTCATGATGCAATCTACGAATAAGAAATTAGTCGTTTTTTTCAGCAACTTTTCATATTTACACTGCGAGATAATTTGAAAGCGTAAAAAACATCTTCGTAATATCTGTAAGAATGTCAAACCGATCAAATCCATTCTATTAATGACTGAAAACTGAGAGCGTGGAAACGATTTCTTATCACTTATTGGAATTAATATAAATTAGCTTTACATTCCTAGCAGCCCATGCTATACTTTCGCTCTCGCAAGTAAGAACAAAAGAATTTTGACGCAAACTTGTAAAAGATTATTACGAAGAACAACAAAAAGAAACATCCTTTGCGGATGTACTGAAAACGAGGCATCGATTCTGAATTGAGGAAATATTGTACCTTTGTATATAATAATTTGTACGGTACTTAACACTTAAATTTCTCAAAATCGGAATCTTGACACAAGACTATAGAAGTATACTTAAGAAGAAAATTCCAAAAGCCCTATCAAGAACTCTTTTAGAATGTCCTAACACTTTGAAATCCAGTCATTTTGAGTCTGATGGAGTTAAGTTTATAATATCTAGCTTCGCTCCAGTTTAGTTACTGGATTTTTGGAATGAATTGATATACAACTGCAATGATTATTTTATAGATGCCTAGTAGTTAGTGAATAATGAGCATTTAATAGCAAGACACTGGAGATGTGGTTTTGCACTTGCTTATATCAAGCGACAACCATTTTCACCGAGAATATCGCAGTAGAATGCAGAATTGCCTCTTAGCGGTATGGGGCCATAACTGTACGCGGTTATCTATAATAGGAAACATCAGAGAGTCTTTGTATACTGATTTGTTGAAATTAATGGTGTTTATGGCATTAAGTAATCAGTAACAAACAGTAACTGAGTAGATATTATTTATAACAGGATTGAGATTGGCCAGATACTGTGTCGTTTGTGGTTAAATATGATGGTTTATCGACTATCGTTCTATATATCTAAGCACCTGGGAAATGTTAGAATCCATTTATTGATCTTTAAGGAGCTACGTGATACAATTCTATTGAATGGAATATATGAGATTGGCCCCGAAAAGAAGTTTCATTATTTTTTTAATGTGTGTGGCTGGCAGGAAAATAGAGTCTAAAGCCGAGTTCATATCTGCAGGTGGTGAGCATCAGGTGATGGGCGGTGTTTTGGATGCACATCCATATGGGCCTGATGAAGCCAATAAGCAGAAACGTACGTCGCTCGGGTTACCAATCCATTTATTTCTGCTCCTGCTCCTTTATTGCGAACACGCCCACGATCGAAGCTCATCGCAAGTTATGTAAGTGTAAGCAAGATGCCATCAAGTATAAAACCGAGACTTGCTGTACAAGAACGCAGACCTACATAGCTTTTCGCTAATCCGACTTCAAAGTAACAGTAATATAAATATTAGTCATACATGCGTCGGTTTCGCGAAATGGTCGTCTAGTTGGGATGACCTTAAAAATAATGAAATACGCCGATGCGCGTCAGTAGTCGCCGGTCGCCTCGGGTACCGTTAACTAGTACGGTTATGTGTGATTCTAGCTGTATCACGAGTAGACTTTTAATAGAATGCTTCCCTAAATTATTGAATACCTAAACGGCGTAAAGCTCAGTTTTTATTGTCCGAGCAAACGGTGGCAGAGCTCAGTAAAAATGTTCGTGCAAAAAACTTTCCATGTTCGGTCTGGTATTGCGAAGCTTCCCTGAAACCATAATCGTTTTATTGTAGACGCGAAAATTTGTGAAAATGAGCAATTATGTCATTTGGATGTTACAAAAACCATGTCGCTCATTTCCGTCAGTCTGTCTGTCTATTAATTCTTGGCATGTCTATAAACGATGAAAGAAATGCTCCGATTTTGGTGAAACGTTCACACGGCGTAACCACCCAACTAGCAAAGAAGTGCTATAAGCTTTTGATAAAAGAACCGTTCAGACATAAAAGCTCTCTATTGTTGTTGCCAGAACACCAAAATGCTGGCTTAATGTTGTGTGGAATTCAAATTTGCTTTCTGCAACATATTTGCCCTAAAATGAGGTGTTTAAAATATTCTTATAGCATAGTTACACAACACCTTATAGGACAAATTTTTAACTGCTCAATAAACGTTTATACAACTATTTTATACGGCATATTTGCAGGTTAGTCAAAATGGAAGCACTTATACAACTGTTGTTTAGTAACTGTTAAAGGCTGTACATATGCTAAATATGTTGGTATACAACTTCACCATAACCTAACTTTCTGCTGTCATATTTTTGTTAAAATGCCATAACCAATGTTTTAAGACAAACAACGCATGCATATTGGTTAAAAAGGTTTTATCTACTGTTCAAACAGAAGATATAGATCTGGTACAAATTCTAGGTAAATCATTCGACTCTGTCGATATTTCATATGTGACATTTCTTAAATTGTTGTATAACACCTGCAGGCAACACCAAAATATTCTAATAAACTAAAGACAACATGGACGATGCCATGATTATACACAACCACCCGCCATATTGAGCAAACATTTATTCCTCTATTTGATATTAAATAGTTATGTTTCAGTTCGAAATTACAGATATAAAGTGATAAACATTAGTGTAATTGTGTCTAAATATAGGATTTGTGGAAGATTTAACGCAGATAAGTTCAGTTTTCCAACTTAAAAATTTAGACATGCTTTTGATCATTATCAAAATATGAATCAAATACGAAGACCGCAGAAATTGCGTAACTACTTTGCACGATAATCACAATAAAATTTGCTGCGCAAGTAATTCAATAGCCCTATATCACAGTGTAGAAGTTTATCATAAATATACTTGTGTATGACATTCACAATGGCCGATATGTAAGTAAACAAGATGACTGTAACGAGTAAGTTATATATTCTTCACTTAGCCTATACAATATATAAGAAATAGTTTGGTTGCAATAAAGTAGAATCACGTAACAGAATAGTTGTATAGTTGACAAAAACTGAATCTTGCACTGACGCAAATGTCCTATAGCGGCTGCAAGAGGCTTACACTTTTGTTATATAACTGTTACCTGCAGCCCTTATACAACCTCTTAAATGACTGAAGTGTCCTATTAGGTGTGCCCATTCCGCTTGTATAGCTGTTCTCTCTGTGTAAGGAATACCTATAATCATTCTTGCAACTCTAATAGGAGTGATAATTGTTAGTTGGGCACTATACCAAAGATGGAAAATCTTTGTAGTTTTTGACAATCGGTCCAGTGGCGGTGGCATGAAGGGCAAAACATAAAAACACTTGAACTTTGCCTTTTGACATTTCAGAGGCTCCTGATCATTTTCTGAATTTTTTTTTGTAGAGGTTAAACATCGGTGACTGTGGATTGTAGACTATGGGAAAGGGTTTATCTTGATTCTTATACACTCTTAGCCCTAATAGTGTTATGTACCTATTAATACATACGAGGGGTACTAAAAAAAATCCATGAAACAAAAGACATTCTTCACCAGTGAACTTAAACTCTTATAAAAAAATCCTTTTGACTCCCAAAAAGGTCGTCGATGGATGCTTTCGGGTCATCATCTGAGTCAAAACTGCGATACCAATTTTAAGCTATGCATTTTTCCTCATAATTTATAAATTGAAAACTAATTATCAAAGTTAACTTAAATTTTGCAAGAAAGGTCACTAACTGCCACGTTAGGCTTCTGCGTTCCAATTGTTTGTTTCATAGCTAGGTAGACTTCTTTTCTAGTATCCCTCGTATTTCACACTTCCCCGTATATTTGCTCTTAAAACTTGCTAGATGGCCGATACTTAGGACATTCCGTTAGCATTATCAAATGGGTGGGGACTATGGAGTATGTACTAACTATATGGGCCTGTTTGGCTGACTTCATTCAATTTTTTTGTTATACATATTCATAGCTCGCTCAAAGAAACTATTTTACGCCGAAGGTAATCCTTTTGAAACATTTTTAGCAGCGGACAGTCTTCGGCAAAAGATTCGCTCCAGCCGTAATTTTTATAGCACGTCTGGCGGTTGTCAAGTTGTTACATTATTATTGGCAGTCTCTAGTGAGAACGCATATTCTCTAATAATTAGAGAGTTTTGGCAGTTTCAAGTACCTCATACGTAAACGTTAACGTTAACCTTGTTTGACATCTTAGTCAATGATTGTTTTGAGTTTGACAATAGTTTTCGCTTGGCTGTCATGTCGGAAAGTTTCTTGACTAAATGTTGCGAACTGTCTACTAATCAGCATAAAACCACTGCACTACTAGAGTGCTCTACGTTGACTGCGACTAACGATTCAGTTAACGTTAACGTTTCTGTATGAGATATTTGTAATTTCCAAAAATGTCTTATGTATTGGAGCAAGTGATGACGATACGAGATTTCAGTTCCTCACAGTATTCCATCATTTCATTTCTGATGTTATACATATCACAGATCTATAACTTATACTAGCTATTACATTATATTGCACTTACCTGAGGGACATGTGAATAAACTACTACTATTATTCTGAAACAAGAAAAAAGACAATTAGTCACATAGTGAAGTTGTACTTTGTGCCATAACAAAACGTGCTGGTTATGGTTGTTTTCATCTTGTTGGTTGTCTTGTATTAATGGCGATTTTGAACTATACATATACAATTTACTATACATATACAATTTAATGCTAATGGCAATTGGTACAATCGTGACAAGATGTAGCCAGAGCTGATATATTGTGTAATGTACGTATATACAAAATCCATTAATATGGTAATGTGATTGTAGATATATTAAAATAATCTAAGCCTTTACAGACTTCTAATCCGGACATTTTCCATATACATATTCATACTGCAATCATGAATATTTAATTAAAATTAGTAGGAGCTAGAGAATGGCCAGATTACCAAAAATTTGTTTCATCTCTATCTAGGCTTAACATATTTTCAAGTGATGCTAAATTATACATAAAAATATATGAACTTTTATCCATGATTGAATCCATTTCACTGATTTGTATTTCTCAAGACTTTTGTGTCATTTCTCAAAGGTACCGGTTCAAAAGTCCGAAAAGTAAACGCCATTATTGGATCCCGAAATCCAAGAAACTACAATATACGTCTTTTCAATTTTTTCATTTCTAAGTTCGAGTTTGAAACGACCTAGAACCCCACGTAACATCGATAACAGCTATTGAATCAAACGTTAATCTACGTAACAAGTGCGTACTTTGATCCATATTCCTCTATCTCAATGCCAGACTAGGTTAAGTCCAAATTTTGCAATTTTGAGTTTAATATGCTTAGCAACATATGTATGTACACGCTCTTATTTGATGTTTTCAGCTTTGACATATCTTTGAAAGCAAAGAAATAAACTGCTTTTAAATCAGTTCAAGTCCTCAGGCTGCCTGGGAGCAAAGCAAGGTTATGTCACTGAGCTATAGTTTGGCACGCATAATGTTTTAAGTGTACTAGGTTATGTAGTTATATACCTTGGTCTATTCTACATCATGAGATTCCTTAGAGGAGCCCCGTATAAGCTTCGTTTGTGATAATCGGCGTTACATAGTTTTTTTAATTTTTGGATTTTCCATTCCAAGTTCTTAGTAACTTTTATATGAGAAAGTAGAAACTTAGCGTATCTTAAATCGTTGTGAAGCTATTTGAGTATATACCTTGGGAAAAACCATTATTATACATTATGATGAGGAAGAGAGATGGAAATATACAAAAGTATGTAGGTGCGTGAAAGACACTCGATTGTAGGATCCTATCTGGCAGCGTCGGAGTGTGACGGACAACGGGGTAAAGTAGAAGAGTGATAAAAGAGAGAGATGGCAGAACGGGCGCTGGCGCCTACCGCTTAGACGGATGCGCTCAACAAATGCGATTTGTTTCTCCCATTTGCAGAGTTGCCGATACCAATATGTCATATTTCTAAGAAATCTAAGTCTACCCAAATTTCGGGAAAAATTGCTGCGGATTCCACATAAGAGTATTCCAAAAATGAAAAAAGTTCAAACTATTAAAATTGTATTAATGTTTCATGGTTCAAATCATATTTTTCATGTTTGTATATTGTTGTATAAATGATTTTGTAATCCCTATTCTTGTTGCCAGTAGAGATACAACAGTATTGAGAGAAATCATGGACCGCTAGATAGGGCTACAACTACCATATGACTATCAAATAGTAGTGATAAACAGGGTTTGTTTATAGCACAGTTGCCTGGTGTGGCGAATTTGCGCCATAGGGGCGATTTGACAACTTTGAAGGACAACTATAGCGGTTACTATGGTGCCCGGTATTCGGGAATCTGGCAATACCTCATGATTCCTAACGTTTATTACGCCAGATTGTTTGCTGACTTGCGCAGTACAACATGACAATCAACGTGACTGAGCACCTGGTAACCCTGGTTTAAGGTGTTATATTTAAAGAGCTTGGGGCAGTTAGGTATCTAGGTCACATTTTTTAATGTATTTCGAGAAATCCGTAATGTTGAGTAAATACTAGATCACGTTTCTTGCTTAGCATGCTGAAAATTCTACAATAGACGTACATTTTGAGAAACAGAGATTTGGTGACGACAAAATCGTAAAAATGTAACGCATTTTCGTAAAATAATTTCTTTGTTGAAAAGACTGTGCCTTGATGACCCATTGAACGAGTATAGTGTCCCGCTCCGCTTTGAATATTCGAAACACTATACTCCAGCAGCATTCAGCTTCAATGTTATCTTTATGAAGTTCTAACGTCTAGGCCATGCTGATTAAAAGTTTGAATGAATCAACACTTAACTCTAAATTCCCCACAATTCGGGAAGCTCTACTCAAATTGGCAACACAGCGTATCTGCCTATTATTCTCATTCGTGATACAGGTCTGCGGTTAACGGAAATATGTACGAATAGCGATGAAAGTAGACGAGCCGATGCGCTGTTGCCAAGAAATGATTTCCCATGTATAACAATGGTTTTTCCTAAGGTGTATAATAAAATTCTAGAAAGGACAGCGTGACGATATAGCATACGTTCAAAACGTAATAAATAGTGTTGTGCCTTGTCTCTTTTGAAACAGAACTTATAATATATGGTAAGTCCGAACTTTACTTCTTTTTTCAAAGCCAAATTGGGTCAATTCAGAGAAATGACAAAAAATATAAAATACCAGAATTACCCCTAGCTACTTATTTTTATCGACCAAACATGCCGGAATTTATAACTACTGAAAAATTAACTTTATGGTCTTCGACAAAATGCGGATTATGGACTGAATCTGAATTCTACTTCTGTTTGTGATCAGACGATTACTAATTTTATATGTTTCGTATATTTATATCTTTTATGACTGTACATTTTTTTGATATCTCATTAGCTCTCGTTAGCTTTCTGATCTCCACTCTCTGATCAGAGACTTGTTTGCACGGACCGTAATAAGAAGAACGTCGTAAATAACGAAAGTGCAGGTATGTCGAGATCGAAGACGAATCTGCGGGCAGCAAGAGGTTATCACTCTGACATCTATACGGAGACGGGCATTATAAGTAGAAATTATATGCGTGCCGGTCTCACGACCGTCGTGCAACTTGTAGATGAGGAGGCGGCTTCTTCTTAAAGATAAAAAGTGGAATGACTATTCCCACGCATTCATATCTATAAATTAATTTTCAAATTATGAATTTTGACAACATAAATACTTGACTGCGCCAGGAAGGTAACTTTGGAACGAGAAAGTTATAAAGTGCTATGATGAAGTGTAATAAGACCAGAGTAATAATTTCGTTTTTTTTTATTCTTGTACATATTCTTGAGCGGCAAAAAGGGTCAAAGGTGACCGTATTCCGGGCTTCGCTTCCCCATCACAAGGATCACTTAGGTATTCTCTTAGTTGCTGTTGAAACTAAAGTGGATCTAGCTCGCCTGATATACAGGGTGTCCCGAAAAAAGTGTACAATATTCTACGCTGAAAACTTCCATGGTTTGACAAATTCCGGTGAATATCAGTAAACATTCGACGTCCAGCTACTATGCGATTGGGAAATCTGCTTTGATATTCTCTTACTGCTGCCAATGAACTGCCATTGCAATACCCGTTCCCAAAATACCCGTCAGTCTGTAAATCATGGCATTTTAAATCGATTTAATAACAATTTTGATTTTAATCTAGTAATTTTACACTGCCAACAATGTCAGCTTAACGTCAAAATAACAAATCAAAACAACTTTTGTTTGCAGTCACGACTAACTATGTATAATCAACAATTCATTTAAATTCGCAGTACATTTTCTATCATGTGACAAATTTTTTAGTTTGATTTTATTCAATTTATCGATATTCAATAAGAGTACCTTTTTTATGTAGAAAACAATAAATTTTCAAATTCTGAAATTGAATTTCAAAAGTAGAATCACACAAAAATTTTGGGGCTAAAATAACCTGAGTCCGCCCCTGTTACATACGCTTCCAAACAAAACTGCCTAAAATTGTTAATATTTTTAAATCCAGCATAAAAAACTAGGATAGAATACCAAATTTTATGTCTCTATCTCAACACGTTTCGGAAATATTAAGGCAAAACCATCTTCAGGGAACCCCTTTAAAAGACCGTAGCGCCCGTAGGGGACGTTTGTCGACCTATGTTTATATAAACTTTTCTACCTATTTTAAGCTCTAGAAATCGCTGGTAGAATATTGCACACTTTTTTCGGGACACCCTGTATAGAGACCAGTCACCTTCAAACCATATGTTACCTTCAAATTCAAACTAAATACCTCCTATTTTTCAAAAATTTAAAGTATGTTGCTAAGAATCGGTCAATATTTGATAACATAAAAAGAATTACAGAGCTGTTTAGGTGTTGAGTGTCCGATGTGTGCGATGCGGGTCTGTCGTCTCGTACCTACTTAAGCACGACTGACTATCCTGTCATATAATAAAGGCAAGCTACCTAATACCCGCTTAATCGTTATTCAATCATACACCTATCTCAGATACACCCATTTCAGCAATAATCGAAAGTGAAAACTGGCGACTAGGCATTTGATTTCACTTTCCGTATTCACCACCGCATTGAACAAAAACGCAGCGTCGCCCGTTGCGGAGACAAATTCATTCGCTTGTAATACGGAACAGGAAAAATCGAGCACATTCATTTCCAAAGGCGATCATAGAGTGTGATCCTGAGAGGTTTTTCTCAGCGTGGATCAAAGATACAGCTATGCATACATTGTATTATTTTAGGCGGAAGTGCTTGTTAAGATCTTCCCTGGACATCCCCCCAACTCTCAAGTGCCACCGATTTAAAGGCTTCCCTGCACTATGCGGGATGTAACATTCAGGCATAAGACCATAAGATGGGTGCTCTTGTCGCTCAACATCAGTAAGGCTTCTGGTCCGGACTTGATTCCTACCGATGTGGCGAAGAGATGTGCAGCAGAGGTTGCTCCAGTTCTTTCGCGTCTCTTCCAGATATCTTACGAATCCGGAACTTTCCCAGAAAGCTGGAACTTTGCTCCGTCGCCTCTTGCAGAGACAAATTTAATCGCTTGTAATAAGGAACAGGAAAAATGAAGAGCATTCATTTCCAAAGGCGGCGTTTTAGTGAAGAGGTGTGCAGCAAAAAGCTGGAAATTTGCTCATGTCTAACCCACCTCAAAAATGATCTAAAGCTGACAGGCATATATCTCTGTTTTTTGTTATAAGTAAGATGATGGAGAGCTGCAATTTTTCCCATGTGCTGGGAGGAGGAGTAGATAGCGTTCCACTCTCTAAGCTTTTCCCTCATCTATAAGGCTTGATATATTTGGAGCCATGAAGTTGCATACTCAGCGGAGCCTTCATTAGATCCAAAAAATTCAATAAACTAGTGTAGAGTGTAGGTGTAGACGTTGTCAGTAAAAAGGGCCAAAGGTGGCCTAGTTACGAAGCATCGCTTCACCACTACTACTCCTAACGGTCTTTGTCTTAACATCAGTCACTCCTAGGATGGACAAGAAGGAACTCGTTTAAGTCTGAAACTCCAGAGAGTACAAATGCTATTCACTAGGATCGCCGTTCACACTTCAAATTGGATAGATTGAACAAGGCTTTCCCAGACATTGAACTGACTGAATTTGTCTTTTAACCTGTTATATACCCTAAAGGAATTCATGGAATCTACCGTGCTTAAGCCTCTCATTGATTTAAATATGGGGTTGTCCAAAACGGATGCAGGAAAGTAAACGCATATTAAAACAAGAAAGATTGATATTCAAATCAAGTTGGGTACTTTATTTTGAAGGTTCATTTATACCGTTTATGTATGAAAAATAATATCGCTCAAATGTTCACCACGACTGGATTTACAGACGTCCACGCGATGGTCGAAATTTTCAATGACATTTTGCAACATGGTCGGTTCTATGGCATTTATCTCGGCAATGATGTTGTTTTTGAGTTCTTGGAGGGTGGCTGGTTTGTTGACGTAGTCTTTGCTTTTCAAATATCCCCATAAAAAGAAGTCCAAGGGAGTCAAATCGCAAGATCTTGGTGGCCATGGCACATTTCCTCTGCGCGAAATCACGCGATCACCGAAGAAGGACTGCAATCGATGGATATTGACGTTGGTTGTGTGGCATATTGCACCGTCTTGTTGGAAATAAACATCGTCCATATCCATTCCTTTTCAAGTTGCGGCAAAAAATAGTCCTCTATCATCACGTGATATCGCTCAGAATTGACGGTAACGGCGTCCCCGGCCGCATTTTCGAAAAAGTAAGGTCCGATGATGCCTTTTGACCCCAATGCACGCCACACAGTCACTTTTTGAGGATGCATCAGCTGCTCTTGATACTCACGGGGATTTTCGTTCGCCCAGATGCGGCAGCTTTGCTTGTTTACCGTCACATTCAAAGTGAAATGCGCTTCGTCGCTGAACATGATTTTTGATGAAAAATTGTCATCAATTTGGCGGTGTTCAATGAGCCAATCTGAGAACGTTCGGCGCGAAAAATAGTCGGCCCGACGCAGCTCTTGCGTCAATTGGATCTTGTAGGCGTGTACATTCAAATCCTTGTGGAGAATGCGGAGCAAACTGGTTCTCGAAATGCCCAATTCTTGGGATCGACGCGTTGTTGATTGTTTCGAATCGTCTCTCACACTCTCCTACACAACAGCAATATTTTCCGGTGTGCGAACGCTCCTTGGCCGGCCAGAGCCTGGCAGATTTGCCACAGAACCTGTTGCCTCGAATTTACGCACCAGACGACCGATGGTTGTTTTGTTTGGGCGGTTGTTGCGACCGAAATGTTCACGAAGCGCGCGAAACGGGTTTTTTATTTTTGCACCTTTTTTGTAGTGCTCTTGAATAACTTTAATGCGGTCTTCAATCGAATACGACTCCATAGCGATCAATGGTAAACATTCAACTAACAAAATGACATGTCGGTGACAGAAAACAAAGATGGCGTCTATGTCAAATTGACGTTTACTTTCCTGCGTCCCTATTGGACAACCCTATATGATTAGGCTTAGCTAAAGTTGACGTGTAGGTTGACGGAGGTTACATAAGGTAACGCAGTAATAGCCAAGTCAAATTAAAGATTTTCAAAATGATTGAGCCACACAAATCACTCATGATTCTCCTGTTATTACTGTGCAACCTCAGCTCATCTGCGTAACTCTGCGTTTCAATTTTAGATCGGCGTTAAAGAATACCGCACCGACAAAGGCATTAAAAATCAGATTTAGAATGTTCTGATTCTCCAAAAATGTTTTGCTTATTACGCACTAAAACGACCAAAAATCGAATGAAGGTGAAATAAATCAAGTCACTGTCGGTACTTACTTGTGCTAAAACGTTCCTAACTGCTACTAAGATGGCGACCAATATGGCCGCCCTTATTCGTATCAGCATCCCCCTGTAACAAAAAAACGTGTTTAGTATTCAGCTGTCGCAACCTAATAGAAAGATCACGCTTCTCATGAGAACTTCATCCCCATATGTAAATCAAGAAAGTAACGTGAATATGGGACGTAAGGATTGCTTTGGGTTATCCTCAACATATATTTATGACAGTTTTGATCAGTTTTTAAAGTAGACGAGAACGAGGAAGTTACTGTACTACAACTATTTAAAACTGTAATGACTCATACGCGTGATCAACACGTGATCAGAGCTCGATCCCGGCTTCCTTCCAGTACAGCCGTATAGCGTACGACATATGTCGTTTCTGTGGCTTTGCGGTGGTCAACAGCACAGACAGAGATGGAAATAATGGCTGATTGTTCTCCGCCGGTGGAACCAATGAAATCAAAGACGCGCCTCGACCGGCAGACTCATAGGCGTCGGCAACGCATTGGAACGTGTTTCGTTGAGCGATCGCATATTGTGTGTTTTTATAAGAATTGTTGTGTGATTATTATTGTTGTGGTTTCTGTGGTTACTGTTTTGGTTATATTTAACCATGGAGAGTACAAATGGCACGAGTGGAAGTACTGAAAGCCGGGGAACAAGTAGACGGCTTCGTAAAGCACTGAAGAGGGACGCGAAAGAAATCGTGCTCAACGTGTTCAATTATCTGAACAGAACTATGTCGCAGGGAGATGCACTCGCGCGTTGTGAAAGTATGACAGGCGTTCCAGAGTGGACCATTCGCAGGGTGGTGCATGAAAAGAAGAAAACTGGAGCTACTACTGATCCAAAGTTTAATTTGAAGGGACGGAAGGCCGTTAAATTGGATGACGATAGCAAAATGGCGTTAAGGCGAACCGTACATTCATTCTTCTTTAGGAATGAGATACCAACCCTGAAGGCTGTACATGCAGCGATCAAGGAAAATGAAATTATACCCCAAATGAGCGTCGAGGTAATGAGGAAATCCCAGCACGAAATTAATTTTCGTTACGAAACGCGTAATCGGAAGTCAGTATTGATAGAGAGACCTGAAATAGTCGCCTGGCGTCGAAAATACCTACGCGAAATGATTGAATATAGGCGACAAGGCAGAAAAATCTATTATTTGGACGAGACATGGGTAAATGCAGGTCACACAGTTAAAAAACCTGGATAGACAAAAACGTAGTGAGTAACCGACAAGCAAGCATTGAAGGTTTGTCAACAGGTCTTCGTGGACCGTCAGGGAAAGGTCAAAGATTGATCGTAACTCATATTGGTAGCGATAGTGGCTTTTTAGAAGAGTGTGACTTGATTTTCGTCTCTAAGAAAGGAGGTGATTACCATGACGAAATGAATGCCAGCTGCTTCGAGAGCTGGTTTCAAGGGGTGCTTCAGCGAGTTGAACCCAACTCTGTGATCGTCATGGATAATGCTTCCTACCATAGTCGTCGAGCCGAACGTGTACCGACTATGGGATCTCGAAAAAGTGACATGCAGCAATGGTTGCGCGAAAAAGGAATCCCGTTTGACGATTCATGTGTGAAAGCGGAATTGTATGAAAAAATTAAACAGCACAAACCTGCGAACATTAGTTACGTGACTGATGAGATGGCCCGTCAATGTGGTGTCACTGTGCTGCGGTTACCGCCCTACCACTGTGAACTGAACCCAATAGAGCTCATCGGCTCAAGTGAAGGGTTATATTGCGCGCCATAACACAACCTTCAAATTACCGAAGCTTGGTAGAATGCTATCCGTCATGTTGTGAAGGAAGAAACAAAAATGTGGCAGCTTGACCACCACATCGACACCATCATAGAGCCAGCTATAGTCAATTTCAACGAGGAAAGCAATAGCGACAGTTTATTACTGTCAGATGTAAGTGGAAGCGACGATGAATAAAGGTAATTCCTAGATTTTTGACTTACAATATGTTTCAAACCACTCTTTATTAAGCATGTGACAAATCTAGTTCACCCATGTTAAACATTCATACCCCGCCTATGAACAGCCGACTACTGGTAGTTAAGTGATGTTCACGTGAACATCGATGAGTCATTACAGTTTTAGATAGTTATAGTATAGGCAGCATAAGGTGATTAATTAGTTTGGATAATAGAAACTTCTTGTTGGCTTTAACCTCGCCTTCGCTGGATTGGCCGCGGTGGGCTCCAAGAATGGCCACCAAGGTCCCCAGACCTCAACAGTTTAGATTTCTTTTTATGGAGCTATCTTAAGACACTAGTGTACACAAGTCGCATTAAGACTGTAGCGGAATTAAGAGAAAGAATAGTTACAGCTTGTGATAGAATAAAAAATATTCCAGGGATATTTCAACGAGTACCCAATTCCATGAGAAGGGAGGCGGAAGCATGCATTTTCAACAATTTTTGTAATCATTTCGTTGGCTTTAATGTTATGTTTAGGTTGTCAGTTATTGTTGTTTATTACCCCTAATGTATTTAATTTTTCCAATTAAATTAATAATAATTTTGAAAGTTAGACAATAGAACGGTTTTAATTTTTTTACTTAAAAGTGGCGCATCAAAAAAAAAACAATTCAAGAGATCATTTGTTTTAAATTGAACGGGGAATTTAATAATAATTTTTATTTGGTAAAAACCATTGGCGTACCATTTTTTTCTTAAAAAATATCGAAGTCAATTCCCGCACCCACGCCACTGTTAAAGCTAAAAATTATTTTTGCATTGAAAAATATGCAACTTTATTAAATTTCTCTACGTACTAGATATCAGTGAAATATCTGGAAGCGGTTCTGAAAATATTAATTAATTTTCATTTTTTTCCTAAAACTTCAAAATCCCGAGTTTTTGTCAGGAAACATTTTTCGACCATAGTTTATAAAGCAAACTAGGAAGGAACACCCGGTATAACATAGCTGGACCAGAAAATTGGTACTTGATAATTGGTAAAATGAACACATGGAAGTCTTACACTTAAAACTTCTGGTATTGTCTTCACCACAGCCAAGGCAACGTGGCTGCATTCCGCACTGCACGCGTCAGTATCTGATCGAATGTATAAAAATACAACAATGTGGTAAAAACCGAGAAAACGGACAACACTAAACATGAAGCAATACTTACTCGTGACCTCAGCGACAGTTTCATAGTGCATTCTTATATTGTGACACCACCTATTACTGTGCACTTGTTTTCTTTGTTAATAATCGTATAATACTATTTACTTTTATCCAATGCAGATAAATTATGACCTTTGATATAATGTCAGGTTAACTTCATCAATCATTGGCATAACTCAATGACAAATACCTATTTGTAAGTATCTGTTTTACAGCGTGTTGAATGTACAGTTACATATCCCGTACCAAATACTATATTCGTCATTCATTCATTCAGTTTTTGATGAACTATACTCATACTGATATGCTGTATATTGAATATTATAACTTGTTTAAAATGAAATTATCCTTAGAGACGCCAACAGAGGTTCATTGTGATTGAACACATGTGGAAATCACAATAGTAGCTCCTAAAGTTAGAAAGCTATTGCCAACTTTGAACTATTCAATGCTTCCAGAATTAGAAAGTACGTCTGATCGAACAATATTGAAATTTTGTAAGACTTGTTTGCACCAAATGATTTGTTTGTATTTTGCATACTTCTATATTGCCTTTTTGGGTAATTCTTGTTTGACAGAATACTGTGTTGAACTTTACAGCTCCTGGCAGTGCACATCTCTAAGTTTTTTAATATCATGGATTACGAGTTTTATGTACTATTTAAGTTTCCGATAACGCCATGCGCTGCTAAAAGGAAATTATTTTACTCGAATTAAAAATGACTTCTTTATTCTCTCTCCAGCTAGCCATTTAGAAAAAGGCATGTAACATATTCGCAGCTCGGTTCCACTAGCTCTGTATTGAACAATCATACTATTTAAGCATCAATATAGTTCGAGATGCTTAACTGGATTCAATTTCTGAAAATTTTACTGCTAGGTAAACTCTGTCAACTATCTTCTGATGGGACAATCGAACCTTGCTGTCTAATACAATAAGTTCCTTGTCTATGTCTTAATTAAGCAGAAGTTTTTCCAAGGAGTTGTAACGGTATTCGTACGTTTATATTGCTTATTTCGATTTGCTAGTTAATTACTGTGAGGTATGTATATTACAGACCTAGGACAACTTCATATCATTACCGTTGTGATTTATTTTCATTATAAAACAGTTGTACTAACCCAACAATAAGTACATGGTCAAAGAACAGTTTCTCATACAAGATTATTTTTTATCTTGACACTCGTAACATGCTCAGCTAGTTCTTTTGCATCAATTTTACAGATAATATTTTTAACTAATGAAGAGGTATGCAGTCCTTATCAGAAAGGCCTCCATACTTATTCTATGAATGGGTCAAGTCAGCAAGCTAAAACTTACAATGTTGCGTTATACAGAAACGTTCAACTTTGACAGCCTGCCAGCCCGCAATTTTGAAAGGTATTGATTTTATATTCTGGGGTTATAAAGTACTCGTAAGAATCTTCAAAATAAGCTGTCATCATTTCGAGATGGCTCCCAATCGTTCTTTTTACGTTAAAATAGCATTCACGTATCATTTTCGTTACCTGTAATTCTAATTGCTAAGTTGAACCCTTCAAAAAATAAGTACAGGGCACTGTTTTGAAAAGCACCCACAGAACTATAACAGTTCTGTCAGGTTTCTAGCTAAAACTGTCGTTTTACCGAATCATATTGAAGGGAGTATTTAAGGCGTTAGTTTTTGAATTTAATCAACGTTTGGTTTTTAAGAAAATTGCGGTTTGGTAATTATGAGATTTATAGGTATGCGTAAATATATCATTAGCTCCTTGTTAAAAAATTGGAGTTTGCCGGGGATATGTATAAGACAATACCTGTGCATGATAACATGTTCATGTCGTCAAAGAACATTGGAATCGTATCGTTGTCTGCAGCTTTTACGTGCAAAAATTTCAAGTAACAGATATGCATACAGTTGGCATAGATCGAGACTCAGGATAGT